TTCCATCAATTAGCCACCTTTTTATACTATAAAAACTGAAATCTTAAGAGCACGAGACTGAGACACTGTATGTCTGTACCTGTGAAAGAAGACAATAAATACAATAAATAATTTTGCCTGACAGAGATATTTTAGACTTAGAGGAGTCCAGTTTGCAATTTAAAGTGCACACAGTAGAAATCCAGTTCTAAGAGGAACTCAAAATCTTGTAATGTATGCAGACTCTGCAGAGACAGTGGTCATCCGAAAGAAAGCCAGAAAAAAACCTCCCTAATGTTAACGTTTTATTCTGTGCTGGCAAAGCTAAGAGCCCAGTACAGAAGGATGTATTATGGAAAGAGTAGAGTCGATTTTACGCCGTTCAATCAGCATGAATGGTTTCCATGGAAAGGTCATCATCATTACATTTACAGTCAATCTTCAGGGGACACCAATTACCCTCACTGTAACCATAGAGGCTGTTGGCTACAGCACCACAGCCCTCAGATTAAACCTAAATTAAAACATACATAAACATTCAGTGACCCATTGAGCATGAGGACAGGATAAATGTAGTGCATTTGTTTTGAATTAGGACAGAGTAAAGAACAATGATCTAATGTGTATATAGTTTGGTTATGAGTTTCCAACTGGGTCATGGAAAATAGGCACCCCAGATGTGAAACATATGATATATAACGCTGTGTCAATTGTGTGTTTCTAGGTTATTGCACATTATGTGTATTTAAGAGGAATATCGACATGTAATTGAATGTAATGACCTCTTGCAAAACTGTTTAAGACTGTAGTGTTAACTGGTGCTTTAAAAATATCCCTGAAACCAGGTGTGCTGCAGGATTCAACGCTGTGGAAGTCAGAAACACTAAAGAGTGAAAAGTGTCTTCCCTGACCCTCCTGGAACTGCTCAATGTGTTCCTAAAAGCTTTTGCTTCCAAAGTGCAGAGCCTTCCTGGACAACATCAAGGTTTCCCTGCTGGTTAACAGCTGATGAAGTTCGAAGTGTGTTCTGCTCACGGCAAATCGTCGCAAACTGAGCAGAAAGAGACAGAAATTTCTCATGGAGTGTGAGAAAAGTCGATGAACATTCCAGAGTGGACACGTAACTGCTAGCAGGGTCAGGGGATTTTTGAAGGGGCAGCAATTGTTTCACGACAAAATGGATAATATTACACAGTACCAATATTGGTAGAAAAATAACCTAATTTAGTCATTGCGTAGTCTGTGTTTATGAGTGGTGTAATCAGTCAACAGTTCATCACTCCAGTAGCATTTTTCTTAAGAACCAACACTTTGACCTACCAACAAAATCCAGTCCAATCATAATTAGTTAGTGTTTGCTTTGCATGGGAAAAGAGAAGAGACCCAGTTAAACAATAAAGCAACCTAGCAAATGTGAAGTGTTTTTCCTGGACATTATGATGTTGACTTTTGACCGACAAATTCTGATCAGTTCATCCTTGAGTGCAAGTGAACATTTGTGCCAGATTTGTAGAAATTCCTTTAAGGGGTTCCTGAAATGAGAGAATGGGATGGATGTATGGATGGAAGAACGGACAACCCGAAAACATAATGCCTCAGCTATCAACGCAGAGGCACAGAAACACAGGAACATAAGGTGGTGACACTCCAGACTATGGCAATGCCGTTGATAATGATAGTAATAATAATGATAATGATAGTGGATAACTTTAGACCCTGAACAAGCTCCCATCGGATTCCCTCACCTTGACCATCTTTTTGAAAAGAATGCAATTTTATAAACAGTCAACAGTTCCTTGCTTAATACATTCTTTAATAATAATTCCACTAAACAATTAGTTCATTATTATACACTTCTATCTCATATGACAATGTGTGATGAGGAAATGCGAGTATGAATCCATCATCTGTACATTATGAATGAGGGACATGATATCACTCAGTATGGGAGGAAACAACCATAACAATATAATCTGAAGGCAGTATTGCTGACTTTTTGGGTGCCAAGAGTAACTTTGCGCAACATTTATTTAGGAACTCAAGTTTTATGGTCAGAGCCAAAAAGATTCTTTATAATGACTTTTGAGTCTGACAGAAATGACCCATGTCCTATCTCATTTGATTAAGAAACAGCTGGATTATTTATATGTAATATTTCACTGTTAAACATGGCTCTTTGTGAAATCAGACCAACTCAAACACTGCAGGTCATGTAGGTATTTATGATCTGGTCATTGAAGAAAACAGATGCTCACTGTAAAAATGTGTACACAAAATGTACTGCAAGCATAAAGCCCAAATTTCTTTCATGATCATATTTAAAAACACATACAGACAGCATTATCAAGAGTTATCACCATTGTCATGGTTGTAAAGTAGCTGCAGGTCAACCAAGTGGAAGTGGAATCCATAGAGGTCATCACGTCTCATGAAATCAAGGATTGAAAAAAAAAAAAGAGGACTTGTGGGGCCAGGTGAAAACAAATCCTCTGGTGAGATGATCATTCTAGCTCTATATTAGATCACATACCGTTCTGAGAGACTAATACATATGGCACATCATTTATCAGTGGTTTTATAAACCACAGCTTTACAGCCATCCATCGTAGTGCTCCTCATTGTCCCTTCAATGAATGACTGATTCGCTCACTAATTCTGACTGGACTGAGTTCAAACATGTGTTTGTTTTTTAATGGGCTCTTCTTTCAGAGACCCTGTTTGCAATTACCTCTCTGCTGGCCTTATTACCGCACTGGGCACCATTACACAAAAATGTCGAGGAGGATGAGGGAGCTGTGGTTAGCACAGACAGGAGCGCAGCCTCAGTTTGATGAGTTGCTGGCTCTCTCCCCTGTGCCCGATGGCTATGACCGAGCTCGTTATAAGGGCTCAGGTTTATCATCACACTTAAGGCCCCACTTAACCAAAATTAAACAGGAAAAGCTAAATAAATGCTGCCGATGGCTAGGGAGCATATCACAAAGCTTGATTGGCTTGACTTTCAGCAACCTCCACATTCCTGTTATATCTAAACCCAGTTCATCTCTCTCTCAGTTAGGGGCGAAAAAGTAAAGAAACTTGCATTCTGAAGTCTTCTGCCTACTCTGAGTCCACGTTATACTTTCTCTTCAGTGACATTATGATCTAAACCTTCTGAAGGTATGTGGATAACTACATGAAAGTAACCTAATCAACTGCAACACTGTGATGACAATTCAAAACCAACAACGGACCTTTGAGATTTCCATACCTATTTGCCAAAAGGCAAATGTTGTTTACCTATATGAGGTATATTCTTGTATTAGAATAAATGAATATAAAAAATATTTAGAATTTAGCAAATGCTTTTCATTTGACATGGACACACTACCTCTATATGCAACTGCCTCAACATTGTTTGTGTTTATATTGCCGCATTCTTGGCCCTTGGTCTCTGCTTCATGTTCCAATGCAAGCATTAGAGGTTTTAAGCTCATCAGCTTTTCATTAGCAACAAATTACAGGTTTAATATACTGTACTGTCTAATGCTGCTTTGCTGACACAATTCAACAGGGCCATTTGAATGACCTCTAAAAAAGAAACTATTAAATACGTGCAATCCCACTGATGACACTGTTTAGAAATAAGACAACATAGGGAGCTATGGGATGTCAGACTCCTCGCCGTGCAGTAAAATCCAGAAATCAAGGATTTGTCATGGCCCATGGGCAACCTCAACAGGCGCACTGAAAATCAGCATGACCGCAAAGAGCTGCCCGCATTCCAATCGAGAAAGATCACCTGCCTGTGCGCTTAGCTCATAATTCATCACAAAGTCGTCTCTTCTTCCAGGTCAGAAAGACTGACTGTCACGTTTAATGGAGTTGACATCTATGAAAATTCTGTTGAATTTATACAGTACTTTATTAATTCCTGTGGGACACTTTCACCCATTATTATTGTTTAGTTGCACAGAGCACAACAACTCAATTTCTGAAGAATATTGCCTTATACCTAAAATGCATGTGTTTTGAGGTAGGAAGAAACCCACACAAACAGAGGAAACGTTCACATTGAATGTACATAGCTGGCCCTGGTAGGGTTCAAACCATAGACTGTATATAATGATGGCTCCACCTCCTCTCACTGTTCAAAAATGAAGCCAAAGAATCCTGGATACGAACACTGCCATCTTGCGCCGGGACATCATTTAGAGCCAGAGTTGGCGCAGTAGTGATCGGGGTTGGCACCGTGTTATCAAGGTTCCACCCATACATCCTCTCAATCGCGAGCAGCGTCAGCTGTCAATCACGACATGAAAAATGACCACTTGAACATAGATCAGCGCATAAGTACTACCTAAAATGACAGAAATGTGATACATTTCTCTGATTGGTACTGTTTGGCCCATGTCCCATTGGCGGGAGGGGGCAGGATTTATGACGTATAGTGCGTTCAGCCACCAGGGGGCGATCTTGACATTTTGGCTTCACTTTTGGGTGACTGTCATATCGTCCATCTTCATATAGAGTCAATGATTCCAATCTAGATCCTTCTTGCTGTGCAAAAATGAAAACCACTGAGCCACCATGCTGCTTAAATAGTATCGAATCCATCGTAAAGGGTTGGTTTACCGAAATTACAAACAACAATAAACAAAACATGAAATGAAACACAGTATCTAACCATGCAAATTGTTTTAGTTTTATGAGCCATGGTTTTAAGATATGTGTCTCTGACTATCCTGCCACCACCCCAATACAATAACGGTGGGTCTGATGTTGTTTGGGAAGCTTACAGCAGTGAAAAAAAAGCTAACCCTAACTCTAACTTTGGATAGTCCAAATTGCTAGAGACAGCTTTCATTAAAACTACTTTCTACTAAAAAAGAAACAGCCCCAATAGTTTTGGGCTGATGGCAAAGTCGGATATCTCAAAACCCTGTAAGTAAGTTTAAGAAAATGTGTGTTTTCTAATTTAGTTGAACCAACCCTTTAATGTGGTAGACAAGCAAAACAAAGATTAAAGCTTCTTAAAGTACCTCTTTTCATGTACTGTATAGCTCGTCCTCCACAGTCTGCAGAGATGGTGTCTGTGCTTCGGTATCCGGCATCCTGGGCCCATTTCTTCTCCTTCTTCAACATCTTAACTAGGATACCTGTAGGCACTGAGTCAAGGACTCTACTTGTCTTTCCTTTGGACAAAGTATTGGATGGAAAAGAGATCTTCCACTTAATTGTACATGCATGTCAAAGGACTCATTTCAACAGATGCTGACTGCTTAGAATTTGATGTACAAACAAACAACAGTGTACACCACTGAATACACTTTTTAGCATGTGAGGATGGCTAGACAGTTCTTCCAAAAATTCAAATAAGAGTTAATTTTGTCATGATTGCTAGCCTCAAAGTGACAACATACAGTAGAAGGGTAGCATCCGCAGTGATTTCCTAAAGACAGCAGGCTTCATTGTGGGCTTTTAATAACGGGTGCTGACATGTGCTCAGTGTCTGACCTCCCAAGCTCAGGAGCATGTCACGGTCTGGGATGAATCAGCGGAGAGAAGAGGAGCCAGGGAGGCTGCAGAGACTCTACCGAGATTCCACAAAATCTCCTCCCGCTGATGAGGTCGTATGTACGTGTAGATGTGTCGGTAAGTCTGAGTGCGCTTATGTGAGTCTGACAGGGAGAACTGAACGGCTGAAAGAGGAGGCGACAGGCAAGAGCCGCCGCTTAGATCCACACTTTTATTGCCATGACACGTTTCTCTTCTCCATATGCAATGTCTCTATGCATTAGGACAATTTACTATAATCGTTTTCCCTGTACTTTGCCTCTAACTCTACAGTACTATTTTGTATTTGATCAACTGCCTCAAACTGCTTTCAGCTGGCCTCACATATTTTTTAATAATAATGCACACAGCAGAGCACAGACTCATGCACCACTTTCAAATCTGATTATCAAATTGACGCCTGGCTGCTATGCTTCATGACTTGTAGAGTTACGTTTACTGTATAACGGGAGCACAGCGCTGTTTCCACTACTGGTGAGGAAGGAGAAGACGGTGCTAGCAGAGGCAATTTTTTTTGCAAGCAGAAGTGCTGACGGAGGGAAAATTAGAATTGCGTGAACTAAAGTTGCATGGGAAAAGTGTATAAAGAAAAACATGATCAAGACATTTTACAGAAAGTTGCCAAGATTGCTTTTAAGATGTCAACAGAGAGCAAGAAATCAAAGCTTGTCAGGGGTTAGCAGGTAAAGGGGCAGAAGCTCAGCTGAAGTTATTCTATAAGAACAACTAAGCCATTAGTTTTGATCTTCGTATACATTACCAACATGAATAAAACATTACAGTCTCATAAAATATTCATTCAGCTCCTGACCTATGGGCCTGTTTTTCCACTATAAATGGACGTGCATTTGATGTCCTAATCACAACCCATAATTTAGAGGCAACACATTAGTCTGTTCTTCAAGCATGTTCCTATCATGAGATTAGCAGACATCTAGTTGTGGCCGGGCTAAAACTGCGGTGGTCAGCAGATAATTTGGGATGTAAGAAAAAGAAAAAGTCAGAATGTCATTATTTTGGATGATGAATGGATGTAGTTTTGAAGGAGCTGGAGACGTTAATTTATATTCCTGTCAGACAATACAAAGTGGATGTCAGTGGGAACAATAACATACAGTTTCCAATGAAACCAACCATGCAAGTCTTCTCAAAACTGCCAAAATCTAAACCCAACACCATTCCAAATGACCTACTGAGGCCAAGTTTTACAGAGAAATATGTTTCTGTGGGTCCTATGTCATTGTTTCATGCAAGTCATTACTTCAGACTGTTGTTCACCAGGTTTTTCCATTATTGAGATCTGATATCTTCATTTATGCTGAACACTAGCATTGACTTCTAGTATATGATGAACATTTCTCTTGGGGGTTGCACATTAGATCTGCGGGCTGCTTCACATGCCGTGCACTCAAAATGTGGTCAAACTCGGCTCGCGACGTGCATTCAATCTCTCCTTCTCATCTTTCTTGTCACTCTCTATTATGCTGTCCAATAAAGCAGACATCACAGGAAATAAAGAAAATGCCTTTAAAATGACCACAGCTGGCAAAGGTGCAATGCCAATCTCAGTGGTGCCACAAATTGCTCCAATTTCAACGTACCGTACAATATGAGTAATAAAATATTTAAAGAAGATATTTTGTTAGATTAAAATTATAGTATTAGAAGAATGTTTGAGTGTCTCAAAAGCTAACAGTATTTGAGTGAAGCTATAAAATAAAAGTCTGTAGCTGTTGAGTTACTAATAAAAGTGCTGAATCCAGTTTTTCGGTGCCAATCTTAGGTCAAGATGTAAACTTTGCCTACATGATATCTCATAATCACAAATTGGCTGAGCACATTCACCTTCTCAAGGGGCTGAACCCTTCAATTTTAATTGACTACTCTCCTCAAGACTAATGTACAATTGAAAGCCCACTTCTGATAGGATTACAAATCAAATCTATAAATCAATGTTGCTAATTCTGTTTAACAAATTAGAAGTGTGGGGTGTAATGGACAACGCAGACAGAAAGTCTGACAAAGATCCACGTTGCAAACACTGTCACGCTCCTTTTTCAAAGAGTCGAAAGTATGATGAAGCACATATAAATAATTTGTGCAGTGACAATAAGCGTGTTCATGCTCGTGGAGCATCTAACAAGAACTGTAAGGTGCCCTTACATAAATCCTAATTTTTACAGCTTTTTTGGCTTTGTGGATCAAAAAGTGGAATCTTTACAAGTTTTGGAGGAGGGATCAGTCATGAATGACCTGGCGTGTCCTGTATTATTGTGCTTTATTTAATTAGTTTGCGTCAATAATCTTTGCACCCAGTCGTTAAAAAGGACCTGTAGCTTGTAATCAGTGACCTGTGGTGAGCATCAGCAGTGGGCTTTCCAGAGATGATAACAAAACACATGAAATATTACCAAAATAAGTGACAGAATGCATTAACACATGAACTGAATGGGAACTGGATGAGTGGTCAGTAAAGCCCAGAAAAACTTTTGTAAATGCTTTTAAATGTTATGCTCTATATCGTTTCCAAGAAAAAATACTATAATAGGTTTGGATGTAAAACAGATCAGAGCTTTGCTTCAGTTACTTAGAGAATGTGCAGTGCACAGAGATCTGAAAAACACAAAACTAATGCCAGTTGTCCAAAAGACACCAAAGACATGTCAATGTTAATGTCAACTGCTGTGTCAACAGAGCAATAAGTTATGAGTGGGTTTACAACTAAAGCAGTAATATTCACAAATTTCTTGAAAACTGAGCCCTATCCTCCTCTCATTATTCAAATAAAACACAATTTAGTTATAATCAGTTTAATCTGAGACCAGGCACACATTTCCAATCTGCAAACAGACCAATTTAGGTAATTTCATTCAATCAGCACTCATTTGCATATGTGCAAAAACAGTTTGCAGCTGGCAGCAAATCTACACTCTTGGCTGCATCTATGTTTCACAACTTAAAAGCCCGTGAATTGCTTTATGGGTTCAAAGTTGTCACAAAACCCAATGTGGATGAGCTACACAGCTGACTCACAATCAAGTGACTCAAACCAGAAAACAATAAATACCTCCCAATTCTGCTTTGATTGTTGCACTGGGGGATATATTTACATATTCATGAACAATATAATATGACCAGTAATGATGATTGCATATCCAACTTGTTGAGTTTCATCAGACCCAGAGGATTCAAACTGTGATATTCGGGACTTTCTTTTCAAAAGTGATCAAATATACTTGAAATATACTAAAGCACAATCCAAAGCAAGGGTCCCATTCCTGCTATCCCCATTTTCTCCACAGCCTTTTCTGACCAATAAAGCAGAAGATGGAAAGTCAGGGGATCACATGCATTGTCTGGGGAAAAAAAAAATCCGTACCAAATTTTGTGCCAATCCGTCTAGTAGATGTCACATTGTTCACTTCAAAATTGCCATTCCTAGAGCCATGCCAGTAGTGTGGCAAAAAAACAAACACCTAAACATCTGTAGACTATAACTATGAACAACTACAGCAATGAGACCCAGAGAGTTTGTTTCAGTAGACGAGGCTGTAGTGTCTCTGAGCAATAAAAGTTATGGTATTATTTTGACTGAGTGGAAATTTGAGCTCTAATGTCTTGATGTAAGAAATCATACCGAACAATGGCCAGAGTTGTTAAGGGATTCCAGAAACCCTTGCCAATGCAGTAAACACACACTGAGATAATTTCTGTGCTTCATCACTGTTGCAGTTATGACTTCATATTAGCCAAATCTGTCTTGGATACATTCAACAGCACACGTGAGCCAAAAGAAAATAAAACACAATAATAATTTGCTAGTTGTGAATACTACCATTCATCTTTTCTACCTCAAAATGTTACTTTATGTCCCTGGATCACTGCCGTTACACAATATTTACACCTATGTTCCACTTCAGTTGTTAAATTAAATAAATGGAAGATACACTACTGTCAAGCCTCTTTGTGGTCCACAAAGCATAGTTGAAAGAATAAGATATGGATGGCCACTATTAAAGTTAAAAGTTCAAATCATAAATCTTGCATGATGCTGAATATTATAACAGTCCATAATCATATATATCACTCTTCAGCTGTCACTATCAATTAAAGGCAATAAAAGCCCCAAAAATTGCCAAAGATCCGATACATTAAGATACATATGAAGCAACTACGATTCACCACTATTGCAGGCAGCTTGAGAAACAGTTTAGAAGGGAGGAACACATCTACACATACAATTGTTGGTCACAAATTATTAGTCACCTTTTTAAATAATAAAAGGCTTAGAGCGTCTACTAGTAATTATATATAAGTACATTTTTTACCAATGCAAATGTCTTCAATCGTATATTTTTATGCTGGTGGGCCGATCCAAATCTATGAATCTTATCACCCCTAGTGGATACCTGGAAGATAGGGATTAATGTCATGGGGTATGCTATGCTTCAAAAGTGGGATGTAGTGAAAGTGATGTGTAGTATCTGGAGTAAAGGACAGACTGTTATTTGGGCAAATGCAACATGAATGTTAGGGGTCTCATTTGTGATGCATTCCTCCAATGCAGCTCCACTTCATGCTTTTCTGTAGATTGCTAACACAGCTTGACAAAACACCTTGCAAGCAGACGCACTTCAGATTTGAGTGTACAACATTTTACCACTGTGACAAAATGGGGAAATTCTAAGTGCTACCTGGCATTTTTATGCCAGGTAGCACTGTCACTGTTACTCAAATCAGCAGTGTTTGTTAGTTCTCCTTGTTGCTCTATCATCATGTTAGTGGTGGATGTGACATCACTACTAAACATTACCAGGTGCCCCACTCCCATGCAGAGTCGCCCATGCATGGGAACACACAGGGGCAGCGGGTAGGGATACACCCTTTTGTTTTACAGGGAACTCTCCCATAATTAACCCTGTGAGCGTCAGTCTGGGAACAGTCAGCCTGTAGCACAGGAACAATGGCTCCCAGTAATGGTTTTAGCAGAGTAGGGGGTAGGACAGTTACACAGACATGGAAAGCATGGTGATTAGCTAGCGGATACAAGCTTAAGTTGTAGAAATTGTCTGAATCTAGATAGTTATTAGGGCTCAGGCTGGAAATGATGTCACCCCTACAGGGTTGGTCAACCCAAACTATAGTGTTACATGCTGCAGACAGACCACCCTGAATGAGGGATTGACAGTTTAGGCTACTGCAACTTTATATACAAACTTCACAATGAAAGAACATAGAGGCAATATGGTCAGTAGAGCGTGTGCATTACTGGCCCAAATATGTGCTTTTAAACACGCGCAGTACCAATTTTAGCAATTACATTTACATCATGTGAAAACCAATGTATGACATTTTGAGAGGGAAAATCTACAAAGAAGAGAGGATTTCACATTACACATACTTTGTCCAAGAAATACTACGGTGAAATATCTGCATGATAATATTATATTTATTTTGGAGAGCTGAGGTTTTTGTGGCAAAATAATCAAGCAGACATCTCAATTTTCCGACTAATGTGCTGTGATCTAATGACAAGCCATGGCAAGAGGGGCTGAGGGAAGAATAATCCCATAAAGCCATTAGAAATATCATATTCAAACGCAAATACCCTGATTATGATTAATAGTAATTATGATTAACTGCCGTCATTAGATGAAGCTCTATCTGAACATACACATTAAAACAACATCTCATGTGTATTCTGGGGCACTGGTGATGAATGCAAGACTACTTACATTTCATAATTTATGTGTCTGTAGAAGAGCTGTAATCCAGCCATGCAATACCACAGGCAGATTTACTTTAGGATAAATACCTTTCGCCTAATGAAGATTTTACTATTAACAGTAAGTGTGATTAAACTGTGAGGCTGGATACAAACGCACATTTAAAGTTGAGTACTCAATTTATTTTTGCAGATTTTTCCCCATTTTCAATCAATTTGGAATGTAAATTCCGTACACGCACTGCAGTCATTGTCTCTGATGACTCCACTTTTAGCCTAGTGACGGTAGAGACAGCGGTGTGCTTCCCTATTTGGTACATGTTGTTGCCAGCCTCTTGTAACCTTTACCTTTTGTAAAGGTTCACTTCCCTTGTTCATTTATCAATGCCAGCATGTTTTTCTGACAGTTTCCACACAGAAAAATGATCAGGAATCAATACAGGAATCGACAAAGAATAGGACGAATAAAAGTATTGAATCATTCAAATCTCATCAATTCCCATTCCTATTCCACCCTACAACATGCAGGCGTCCCGACCCACCAGTAAACCAATAAAAAGGACAAGAATCCTCGCCATCTGAAATTCGCAACCAAGCCCAAGGTAGGGAATCTCACTTCAGAAGCAGTAAGAGAGATCTGAACCAACCCAGAACAGGTATAGCAAATCAATGCTTCATTAAGAGTAGCTGAAGCTGTTCTGTCACACTGTAGTCTCAGTCTCAAAGTCTCAGTCAGAAATAGCAGGATAAAAGCTTAAAGGACTAGCCAATATCAAATCTTTGGGATGTTTGCACCTTACCAAAAACTAGAAAAAAAAACTCTAGTGTTAGCACTGAAATCCTATCTATGTTTATATATATCTGCTGTAAATCTATATTTTACAATATAATCCATCCAGTTGGGGATTCTAGCATTATTTTAGACGTGCAATGTAAAAATGGGGAATGCTAAAAACATCCAAGTCATTTAAGAAAAGAAATGTCATTTCTGTGGCAGAAATCTCTCCTTCTGCTAGACAAAGAGAAAGTGAGTTTACATTTTAGTCAGACAAGTTATGAATCTATAAACTAAAAAGAAAAGTCTCACCACATTTGATTTAGAAAAATGTGTATGTATTTTACATAATGTGAATCACCTACAATTATATAACACAAGCTAAAGTGTGCATACATAAAATAATTTTCTTACAAAGTATCTCATCATATATTGTCTAATTTGACCACTAGAAATAAACCTCAATGTGGTAGTATCTGAGTAATCTGAGCTGGCTTATGTCAAAGGATACTGATTTCATTATCACGCTGCTTCAGCATCGTCTTTAGTTTGGTTACCTCTGCTGCACTGTGGTGGCTGTCTTGAATGACTTCCTCCCTCACTGTTTCTGCTGGTGACCCATCACTGCGCCCATTTCCTCCTCCATGCTTGTCCATGATCATCATCTGTACAAAAAACACAAAATAGTAAAAAAAAAATGGTTGGGTATAGACTGTATAAAAAACAGTGCATAATCTGGTTGTCCATTCCAATTGTTGAGAACTGCATTCAATCAAATAATAGTGACAGCTGGAGTCACAGGAATGCAATTTTTTACCTTAAAAGTGATGTTTTTGAACATCAACCTAAGACAAGGACAAACAGCAGGGAGCTGAGTGTGAAAGAGCTAGCCAGCATTGAGAAAAAAGAAGAAAGAAATCCAATTCAAACCAGATACAAATTCCTGCACAATCACTGGAGTGTGACTGGGGTGATGCTTAGAGGAATGTAAACTGAACAGGAGATAGAGTGCGGATCATAACAAACTGAAGGAGAGATAAACAGACATTCAAGTGGGATCTGGAACTGCTTCTGGTGGCTGCTCCAACTCCAACCAAACCGGAGTGCAGGAACAGTGTGAGCACCACAGTGTTTTCCCTACGCTCATTTAGCAGCAGTGTACCATCGGCTGCTGTTTGAGAAATGTTAAATAAGATCTGACTTTCTTTGAGAATTTGTGTTTTCGACCAACATCCTGCAAACTATAACAACTACATTCAATTGCAAACTTATTCCACAGCTGTCTGTATGACAAATTGTGTAGACTGGGCATAGAGCCAAAACCAAAATGGTGTCCAGACTCCACAATAATAAAAATACACAGGAAACACAATGACATTGATTGAACCACCTCTTCCAGGTGGTGACTTCAGTTTAAGTATCAGTTCCAAAGTAATACATACGGAGAAATATAAACAAATTCAAAAATGAGCCATTAATGTAACACATACAGTGTTTACTATTTAGTCTGAACCCTACGTACGTGTTTAATAATGATGGGTACATAAATATATGTCCACTGACCCATTCATTAAAGATAAGCAATTATGAGTACATCAGCACAATAAGAGAAAAAGAGAGTTCAGACCACTTTATTGTATGTCGTTGTGTCTTGGCTGTATTTTAGCTTTGGTGTAAATTCTTGAGATCTTGTTTAAACACACACATCAACGACTGCATGTCAAATTACACCTCGCCTCTAATTAGATGGCAAATAACTGCAAAACACAGAGTGTCTAGACTTCAGTCAGGTGTGGGAAAATCAACAACACTCAATGAAATTGGCCCTATTGTATCCTAAAATATTTGCACTTTCTAGTCATATGTATTCTCTAGAACTAAGTATACAATATCCAGTTAGGTTATAGTCAGGCCTGAGGATAAGATTATATTAATCATCAAAATACAGTGATAAAAGTTTACCAAGCAATTTTATGAGACAGTAACCACCAATATTAACCACATTAAAATAGGAAAGGTCATTAATTCAAAAGTAAGGCATTTCTCAGCAGAGGACAGTAGAGGGAGCTATTTAGAGGAGGTGATTGGTCAGCTGGTCACTGCTGGGCTCGTGGATGAAGTGAAATGTAAAGAGATCAGTTCTGACACGTCACATGCTGATCAAATTTGTTCTATTACTTTGTTTTACTGAAGATGCAACTCAAGCACTAGCTAACAGAATTAAACTTTAATTACTTTAAATATCTTCCACTGTCACACATACATGGTGACGCCACATGGAAACAAACCGTATGAAATGATGGAATGACAGAGAGAACAGACACAGATGGACGCTTATACAAGGAGACATGTATGTAAATACATTACCTTCAGTAGGGAGAAACAGTACTGGATTTTTCTCATGTCTGGTCCCAATGACAGTGTCACGTCTGGATCAGGGTCATCCAGAAAGGTCTTGACTAACTCTTCCAACCTACACACACAGACACACACACACACGCAGAGGCTTTCTAATAACCAACAAAGCTTAAACCAGTGCCACATTCCATGTTACAATCCTTGTCCATCACACTTGGCTCTGCCTTAACAGGCACTCAAACAGTTAAGATCTATATTTGAGGAGTGCTTATAATGTTTAAAATGTGGGTCCGGTCAAAGAAAACTATTTACTTAAACGTGTGTTCCAGCTCCACTGGGCTGGCCTGTTGATAAACTATCACTGAATGTTAGTCCAAACATTGGTTCTTCAAGCTCTGGAACCGGCCACTGGAAAAGACCAGGAGGCAACCGTCCAGACGGATCCAATGTAGGCACGACGACGTGCGGTTTTTATTTTCCGCTGTAATGTGTCCGGAGTAGAAACACGCAAGGTTTACATGACAAAGGGCTTAAAACAAACGCAGCGGTCTTGTTTCAGGGCCCTGCGAGACATCAGTGGTTTTGTGATACAAAGTTTGATTCTGGAGAAAGCCCTTCGATGCCATGTACAATATTTTGTAAGACAGAATCCTCCTTCAAACACCAGAATTTGATCATTCCCAAATAGTTTTTCTAAGGTGTGAGATGATATGTGATGTAGCAAACTAATATTGCATTTAGAAAAACTAATTTAAATTGGCTTCAACTAGTATAGGAATGGATTGATACTGAATCTTATAAAGCAGTGAAGGCAGCAGAATAGTCTTCTGAAAAGAAAAAAATCTGTATGCCTGAGGATGTGCGTTTGGAAATGTGACAACAAATAAGTCAGGATATGTGCAATCACTCAGCACTGAAGATGAGTCAAGGCATAAACTGGAGAGGAAACAGCAAAAAAAAAAAAAAAAGTCAGCATGTCCAGTGAATGTGGTCACAACAGACATCATTAAAGGTTCTCTGCGTGAGTTAGACCACAAACAGGGGGAAATCGAGGATAATCACCCGGGTAGAGAGGAAATAATAAAGAAGGCGGACTGAGGGGGCCAAGGCACAGTAAATACATCAGCAATGATGGGCGGGCTATTTGCCAAGTCCTCGATGGAACCTCGGGCCTGAACCCTGGCCCTGACTGGGTCCCTCTGCCATTTGAGCATGAGAGCAGAAATAAAGCAGTCCTGGGAAACGCTGGTTAGTGAATGAGGCATAAGTTATGTAGGCACTTTAGGCAAACCCCAAAGACTTATAAATCATAAAACATATTTGCTCAAGAATCTCTGGTTTTCTAGCACTACAAATACATATTACAGTCCAAAAAAAGGCTGTCTGTTCTCTTCCCTGGGTCTGAGGCGCACCTTAAACATCCCGGAGAGCTGACGGGGCCAGCCCAACACTATACCCGTTTACACTGTCCTGAGATGACTGGCTCACAGAGGTCGTATCATTACACACACATACAAGTTGTACAACCCGTGATATCCTCTCTGGAACATACAAATTTAACTCAGGACTGAGTGACTTTGTTGCCTTTCCTCATCTGTCATAGGTACATTTTGAGATAACATTATAGGCCAAAATGTCTATGCTATGTTAAGACACTGACTGGATTGAAGGGAAGAAGAATCAAGGAAAAAGACGTACTTCTTGACCTCCTCCACAGTTAGCTGGTCATCTCTCTGTTCTCCTGTCAGCATGGCCAGCTCTTCCTTCAGAGACTGGATCTCCCTCTTTAAGCGTGCTATTAGCTGAAATACAGACACAGAAAACAGCATACACACATTGTTAAAAACAACAACACACACCTGCACAACTGTACAAAACAGACCGATGCAGACGGAGGCTATATAGCTGCTGAAAATGTCACTGCAGTTTATCTTACTGATGCATTTTGAGGACAAACTTAAGTGATTCCAAACAACTGGATGCTCCAGTGAGAAACTGCAGCAAACAAAACATAAATTAGCATTAAACAGCTACAGTGGCAAAAAAAAGAAGAAAAGAACACATTCTGTTGCTGTCCGTCCACACATGTTTGGTTAAGGCCGCTGTCCGGGTCTGGTTGCTGTATATATATAAAAAAAATGCAAAATATCTCACCAAGTCCAGACATAGCTTCTTAAATAAGTACTTAGATAGCAATCTTGGCAAAAAAAGGACGACCACCAGGACGTTGTTTCAATAAACAACCTAGAGCATCATTCCACTGCTTATTACTAATTAATATGTTCCCTGATCTGTGTGCCCCAGGTATTGTGTTCTCCACCTGCTGAGCACAGGAAGGTAAGAGACAACAGAATATGTGACAAAGAGCTGTTTAAGGCATGAAAGGAGAATTCACCAAAAACAAATGTGTTCAGGCCCTGGCCTCGTTGACATATAGCCTTTAATCTTTGGGAATGAGTGTGTGGTGAAAGGGTCCACCCCAGAGAGGTCAGTCTAAGTGGCCTCATGTCAGTGTAGGTAAAGATTAGCAGGCATCTAACTACCGAGCACCTGAAGGATTAGTGAGTTCAGATCATAGATGAAGTGGCATTACATATATGTAGCAGTAGCCATAAAGAATTGATTCTCACATTAATAGCTCTTGTGAAGGAAGAGAACTATTTTGGATTGCTGCATTATAGGTTTGTGTGTTTTATTGCTCCATTGGCAATGGAAAGTGTACAATTGGGACTAACATCAGGAGGCTAATGTTATTTGTTCAATTAATCAGATTACATTTTGTTTTCAGATTACACAAATGTATCACTTGCTGATGGTAATGCCTTTCTCTTATGTACTCCCACAGCTCCTTTCTGATGAACTAAAGTACACCTTCATCGATGCACCCATCATGTTCATTTGAATAGATTTTAAACTGGATGTTATAGTTTTTTTATAATATATAATATATATTGTAAATGTTTAGGTCAGTTTGGATAAGTTAAGACACAAGCCGTGTATCCATTACTTTTAGCTGTTTCACAGTTTTCTCAACTACGTTTAGCTAACCATTTCAGCTGTTTATTTTTTTAACAATCTACAGTAATTTATCAACAACTTTAGGTCCTTCCAAATGTTCTTCTAATACCTTTATTAGCCTTTATTAGACTTTGTAGCCAAATTGTTGGCTAAATGTAATAGATAAATGTGAACCATTTATCTATTACATGTAGCTTTCAACTACTTAAACAATGTATCAAATACTTTCAGATATGTCAGCATTTAATACTTTTACCTAACTATTTCAATAGTTTGTCCATTACAATAAGCTAAAAACTTTAATCATTTATCATTTACTTTTATTTATCTATTAGAGGTTGGATAAATAGCTGAAATACAGTAAATTGATAATTAGCTTTCCATCTCAAGCATTTATTCACTTCTCTGCTTGCTTGCTGGCGATACAATGTTAGTGTTCAGATGTTACAGCTGACTCAGTAAGTGGATATATATACACAAATTAGTTGAGCTTCTCTTCAATCTCCCCTTGGCAACTGTAGAGGTTCTCCTGATTGGAAATCTGTACTTTACATCACTAACAGTTTCCTTTTTATATTTAATTCTTTGTCCTTCGTGCAACAGACCTGTTAAGTGGGATTACATCCTAGATTTCTTGGTCCGCAGCAAGAGGAGCAAGACCAAGAGGTTAGAGGTGAGCCCACTTGACATGAGTGCTTATTTTGATGCTGAGCCGTTTCTAGCAGCGTGCCATAACTTGAACTTAGGGTGCTATGATTAAATGTGAAAGGGCCACATAAACCCAGAAGGACTGATTAATATAATAAAGCCTACAACTTAATATATCTGCAGTTAATTGTATGAGATGTTAACTGGGCATTCATTCATTTGTCAAAATTTGCCCTTGAAAAAGGAGGAATCAGTCCAGGAAGAGAATGAGCCTTTTCACATTACATCTAAACAGAGACGTGTAATTACATGTTAATGGTAGGGAAAATAGGCCAACACCAAAATCAATGGATGGTGTAGTTATTGAAAGGAAGCCAGACCAGTTGAATAAAAATTCTGCACAAATCACACCACAAAACAACACACAAAACCACCTAAAAAAAACTAAGTGGCAATTGTTCTTTGTCTCACATGACCCACTTCTTTCTTCAGTATAAATCCTACTTAACAATCACCACTGACTTTGACCACACCGCAAAATACTATAGCAGACTGAATGGCTGGAACTGTCTAAGTGGCAAAGAGCAAATACAACAGAAAGTGTCAGTGTGTGCCAGAGTCACACAGTGACACTCCTGACACAAAGTCGCAAGATAGCCAAAGTTCGGTGGAAACTAAACCGAGGTCAAAGGTTAGACTGAGTCATCAAAGCAGAGGACTGCCACTTCTGGCAAACACATCTTCTAACTGGAAAGTCAAAAGCAGTCATACAGTCAGACATAGTCAACTTTAAGATGCTCTTGAGAAGAAACAGACCTGCAGTGTGGTTTGGGGAAGGTGCCACCTAGCTAAAAGATAATTTCATCCTTAATCCAACCCATATCATATTTTTTAACATCGAACATCATAGCTGACCGTCCCTCACCAGAGCCACTCCCTGTATCTCCTTTTTGGAACCCATGGTCTGATGTAATTCTCCCAGCTGCATCCTTAAATGCTGACCGCCAGTTGTTGGTCAGCGGAATCGCGCAGTCTATTTCAGAGCACCGAGCCCACACTGGTACCACAGCACCACGGCAGGCTTCCACACACTCTGAATAAAAACTGACTCGTGACTGATGATGCCAGCATGTCCTATGGAAACCCATGGTGGTGCAAGAATACCAAATGCAGGTTGTTATGGTGAAAAAGCAATGCTAAATGTATGCCTGTGTTTCTATCTATGTACTAACAAACATGTTACACAATTAAGTCTGAAACATTACACTCACTTATACAAACAGTTCTAACTTTAAATTATACATCTTCTTCCTGAATACATGCTTCATACTATGGTGTGCAGAGAACCACCCACATTAAACTGTGAGCACTGCAGTTTAACCACAGGTTACACCTCAAATGCGTATGTATTATGTAGTATGCCACTCACAAACATGCTGCAATTACGGGGCCTCCTTTAATGAGGGAAGAGGAGTCATAGTTTCCCGCTACACCTAAACGTAGGAAAGGTCTTTTATCCCCCACAACAAAATGATAACACATGAGCTGTGTTCCATGCACGGCACCATTTAGGCATTTTAGACTAAGGCTCCACACCACTACACTTCCAAACTCCCTTCTGTCCTAACAAACGCCCGCCGCTTAGACAAGATGAGGGACCCAGCCAGAGCAGCCACCCGCAGGAATTTTCACACCCGCTTTCCAAACATGTCTCACTGGTGGGCTATAAGCAGGCCTCTGTTTGACTCACAGGTATGCACTAATCAGAGCTGCCTGCAGAGCAAGATGTTGTGTGTGTGTGTGTGTATCTTTAAGTGAAGGGAGAGTCCAGGTTCAGGAGGGTCACCCAGCCTCTAATTACCTGCCACTTAGCTGCATAACAACACATTGAGATGACTGAGATGATTGACAACTTTTTTGACCCTTTAAGATTTAATGAAAGAAGCTTGATGGCATTTCAGCTCAACTCAAACTTGTGCACAGTGAGTACATACTTGAAATAAATGCTACACTGAGGTGAGGTAAGGCATCTTGGAAGATCCATTAACTGTCGACAATTTCCTCTGACTGCAGACCAGGATCAGCCAGGTCTAGATGGAGGATTAAGACTGACCTTAGTGCTCTTAGAGCAACCAACAGAGCCAACCTTATATGGTATGGTCACTGTGGCTGACTTCATTATGATCACAGGTCACTTTCAACACCTCATTCTTTCCCTTTCCACGAGAGACATGTTAAATGTTTTGTCTGGTCTGGCTGGTTTCCTGCTGTTCAGACTTTGAAGAAGTGCATTTTGTAGCCTGTAGGCTTCAGTATAGGACCATTAAGGCAGTGTGTGAGCTGAACGATGTACCAAACACTGACTGCAAGATTGTCAAAGTCAAACTCCAGATTTCAAATCAATTACCACAGCCGGCATGTCCAATAGACAGTGTGCTTTCAGATGGGGGGCAGGCCAAAAACGGGAGTCTGAGTGTCACCCCAAGCCACAATAAATGACATCATTCTAATCTGCAAACTGCACTGCTGGCTTCACTTTTGTTTTTTTCTCAGTAAACCGGGGAAGAGAGATAGAGGGAGAGACAGAGAGACGGAGCAACGAAACAAAATGAGAAACACACGAAAAAGTCATAAACGGAGACAAGAAGTTTGCCCACGGAGTTTGGGTTTGCCTGGAGCTGTAACTGTGCCGGACCCGATTGGGAGCAGCCAGACACTGTCACAATTACTGCGCCGGCCGCAGACTCTCTTAAAAATACCTCTGTAGGGTTTGCAAGTGGCCAGCCAAGTCTCAGCGGCAGTAATACAGTAGCATGTTGATCCTCAGGCAGGTCATGGTGGGAGGGGAGGAAGCAGATATAGCTGTGATGACTTACTACTGTATATCCCCTGAGGGGCCTTTACAACAACAAGCAGGTCGGCTTCCTGGCACTCTACAATAAAAGGTGTGACAAGTATTGTTAAAGGAGAAAGTAAAGGAGGCTAACCTGACTGAACTGCTTAGGCAATCTCTCATGCAATTTCCTATTACTCATTATATATTGTATAATACCATGTAACAAAAGGCAGATATGGAAGTATTTGTATGGTCTATGTAAAAAAATGTTGAGTAGCCTCTGTAACCACATACGGTAACCACAACTTTCTCTGCTCTACATCTCTTACTCTGGCCTCTTCTCTAACTTACTATAATAAGAATTCAAGTGTATAGATACTAAATATAATGAAAGTAAAAAGACTCTCCCACTCTCATTTTAAAAATGTTACACTGTGTCCTCAGCTCGACAGCGTCTAGGCAGGAATTTCTCCGTGGCTCCATGCGTGCAACGTGTGCTTTCTTGCTTGAATGTGTGCAAAGACATATATATACACGCCAGTCTCCAGCTGGATGCTTTCTCAAGAGGCTGTAAGGTACTGGGATAAAATATGCCATAACAGTATTGGAGGCATGTAAACAAAACAGAGAGAGAATGCAAACAGGAGCCTGTGAGCAGTCTAAATAATACAAGATGGACAGGCATCCACGTGTTGAAGCTGGAAAACAGAATGAATGTCTGTCTGACACTGGAAAAACTTATTTGGTATTGGAAAGCTAAAGAGGACACTTAGGCACATGGTGGGTTACACTTTGTTACATTTAGAAGCTGGATTCTCACTACAACTCACTCCCTGATCAATTTTAGGTCTGGAAGCTGTGAGGAGGGTCTGGCCATAATGAAACAGCACATTAAGTCATGCTCCAGTGGTGTGACTGTGTGGCTAAGTTGTGGTATGGTATTTGTAGTGACTGGTAGAGTGCATTGAGTGACTGGCTGTCTCACCAGGGCAGGATCCAGTTCTTCGTTCAGTATCGCCTCGTTCTTGATGAGAGCCACGCGCTGAGCGAAGCGGCACGTGGAGATGGACTCCTGAAGAAAGAGGTTTTAAATACATTTTTAATGTCTGCCTGAGGGAGGACTATTACTCTTAATTACTCTCTATGAAGCAGAATATACTGTGCGACACAAAATCTAAGGAAATATTATTTTTGCTTGCTTGCCTATAACCTAACATTTTTGCACTCCAAAATCTTGTTTCTCTTCACTTTTCTGGCAATCTAACAAAATATTGTGTCAACATGGCCTTAGAGCAGACCATCCTTACATCAAGGTTCCTCTTGTCAACTGCCATAGTGGCAATCATTGTAGTCATGCAGTTGCCCCCAAGGCTGTCCCTCAGCACTGAGGTCAACATGGAGTTCCTGTAGGGAATATGGGAGCGGTTCTTCTCTGACAAAGCTATGATCACCTGGAGAAAAGAGCAATGCAAAGGGCTGATATGTAAATAAAGACAGAAATGCCCGATTGTAACATAATGACTGAAACAAAAAGTAGTTATTCTTTAGTGTGGGTCATTACTGTTGAGTAGCTGCAAGATGGTCATTAATCAAAGTCAAATGTCTGACATAAAATGAATAATGATGAACTAATAGCAGACTGAAAAAGGGAAGAAGTCTAAACGAGGAGACTTTATCCTGGTGGAAAGCATTACACTGGCTGTGTCAAATCACACACAGTAAATGGAGAAATACAAACAAAGAAATTGCATTCTATGCCCAGATGTATTTAATTATTCACAACAAATATATTCTGAATATTAAATTGCACAATATATTATTTTAAAGTGGCCCTCCAGTCAAAAATCTGTTTTACTACAGTGTGATGTCTGATCTTCACTGTGCAGAATGTCTGTGCAGAGTTTGACTCCAGAAAGATGTTTTCACATTCATCTGCTGAAATCTAGCATGATTTGTGACATCACAAATAGTTTGGAAGTCGTAATGTGATGTTGAAGCCACCAGTGTACAGACACTGAGAAAGGACTTTACAGGGAAGCAGGAGACATCTTGTGTCCAGCTGGAAAACTTTTGAACAAAATGTGCATATTCTTAGACCATTTGTATGTATGACTTAATAACTGTCTGGAGGGGGTTTTTAAATAAAAATGTTTCAGAAGTGGCTACCTGCTCCAAGTAGTGGAGGGAGAGGTTGATGTACTTGGCCTCAGTGAGCAGCTGCCCATTCAGGCCAGTCTTGCTAACTCTATCTGATCCAGCCAGGTCCACCAGGTGGAGCTTGGAGCGTCGCAGGGTGGCCGAGCCTGGCTCTCGCCTGCAAAGGTGCACAGTGAAAACGCAGTGGGAACGGGTGGATGCTTGGTTCATTGGAGTCTGAGAAGAGAGAAAAAAGGGGAGAGCAGATCGGTGAGAAGCATTTTGTAAATGCGGTCATATTCTTCGGTCTGTGTGTGAGAGTATTTTGAATCGGCACACATGGTGGACACAAAAAAAAGAAAAGAAAGAAAAACGGAATTTCATTCTCCATCTGCGGTACTGGCCAAATTCAAACAACAAAAAACATGTTTCCTTTGATTCTTATTTTTTCTTACTCCCGCTGGTTTGAAGATCAAAGGCACACCATGTGTAACCAATGAGCAGTAAACACATGGTGGCAGCTTTACAAAAGCTGAGGTTGATTTTCAGATGGTCACTGGAACAGCAGAAGTCAGGTTGAGAGCAGGAGGAGACAGAAATAGAGTATGAGTCACTCTGCACAAACAAGCTTTATTAACTAGTGGAGGATGCTTTACTCATGGGGTCCTCAAAGAGAGAACAAACAGTCGAAAATAGTGCTGATCATAGACTTCTATTTGTTTTTTTGCTTGTGCCCTAGCATGTAGGCAACTTGGACATATGATGGTGGCTTTAAATAACACAATTTAATTGGAACAGATAATGTACTACATCTTGACTTGAATAAGAGTCTGATAAAGACCGACAGTCTCTTTCTGTGGAATGGTCATTGATATGTGCATTTCTTACGTATTCTCTCTGCTCAAAAACATCATCACAGACATTCCAGGTCGTTCCTTCTGAAAAAGTGCTCTGACCCTGACTTGTTGTTGGCGTAAATGTGCCAACGCCTGTCTGTTAAGGTCATGACAGCTTCTGACAGATCTTTCACTATCTTAACCCGCCACTATCATCTCTTTCCTCAGTTCGAATTCTCTTCACTCTGCACACGTCCATGTTTGCTCTTCAGGGTATCCCTTAAAGTAATATGAGACAGCCCTTAGATGTTGACAAGAGATCACATTCCTAATCGGGTTGAATAAAGGGCCGAGGGTAAGGATATAGATAGAGTTTTACACTCTTACCACTGACAGTGATTTCTATAATTTTCAGCTATTTATATCAATAAGGGTTGGCTAAATAAAAGAAACATCTGTCAGTGTGAAACACAGCCCAGCAAACAACCTTCAAAATGATCATAAAGTTGAATCAATAACTCTCTAATACAGTGTCAACATGAACTGGATTAGAACCTTCATGAAGGGAGGATTTATTGCAGTACTTCTGCATTACACTGCATTAGCACTAAGTATGACATACATTAAGTGACTGTTAATTCATGTACTACAGTGAAAACCAATACAGCACTCATGGATGACAGTTAAATATTGGATGTTAGTATTCAAAGAGCAGAACAGCTGCCCATAAATAGGAAGTGACTGAGTGTTATTGTGTCCTGTCCATAGCATATATGTATTTAACACTCAGGACAAGCTGAGAGACCTTTTGGGTAAGTTTAAAGAGGTGCATGCATCCTAAAGAGTACATCAAGTACAGTATGTATATCTAAAGTTCCACTCCAGACACGTTTTAAACAATGTAAAAATACTCTATGAGTAATATTCTATTTCAAACGGTTTTCACACATAAAAAGAAAAAAAAAAACACTATGAAAAGTTGCTGGAAGCACATGTACTCTTCTCCCTCATTGAGAAATTCTGGATCTATGAAAAACTGGGAAAAGAGCAGTGCACATCAAGATGGCTAGTATAAGAGGAAATATTGAGAGATTCTAGCAGACTTATCAGAAGATATTTAGCATCTTTTATTTCTTTATGTTGTTTGCTAATTTGTTAGCTTGTAACTGGCACTGGCTGTCAAAAGCTTCACTATGCTAGTGCAAACTCTCGCTCTCTGTACAAGTCTCTGGACAAGTCTGCTCTGCGCTGGAGGCTTCAGGTTTCCTTGTCTATCCATCCGTCTATCTAGCATCCATCCAGTTTTGTTAGCATCTGTCATGAATTTGTCATGTACCAAATCCGGCTTGGCCAGATGTTTGAATGTCAGATTTTAGGGAAGAATACAGACATTTCCCCCTTCACTAGAGGAACATATATGGATGCAAGTCAGTAAATGGTCAAGGTCAGACAAACACATTTTTGAGTGGAGGGGATTTTTAAACTGTTACACACAGTGAGTTCATGTCCACAGAGGAAATAGTGTCCACACTGGGGCATTAAAGTATAGCTTAGTTGTGAAAAAACAGCAGGACAATGCAATCTCATTGGAGTCACCTCTTTATTCTCCTGTGTTCTCAGTTGACCACATGTTGAGCTTGCATGCACCACAATGCTGACCACACACAGTGCTGCACTGGGTCAGCATAAAGGGGTAATCTGGTGCTACAAACCGAAACACTTAGAGATTGCTGATTCAAAAGATTAAGACCTGTTATGCACCGTACTCACCCCCACAAGTTCAGGAGGGAGTCACAATGTAGGAAGGGGGAAAGATCCAGGCCCTGCATCCCCACATGTGAAAAGAAGTGAAACAGGGACGCAGAGAAAAGACCATATGGGAGGAAATGTTTCCTGATGAGGTTGAAGGAAGGGTGAGGAGTTGAGAAGGTGTATTTTATTTCCTGTCCAATAAAAGTGTAGAGGGGATTGCCAAGTCTCAAAGCAAGTGAGCTCAGTCTCTGCTGAGTGTGGCGTGAATGGATGTGTCATCTTTTATCCACATGGCTGGGAGCAAGAGAAGAAAGAAAGCATTAATGTTAACTTTACTGGAAGTCTACGTGGAACAAGGACTTCTGGGATGATTCTGGCAGCAACAAATTCACTATGTTGAGGGTGCTTTGTTTTCTCGGGGCTCCAGAGAAACCTTCTTGTGAAGAAGTTCCAGAGAGGACGAGTTCACAATAGTCTCTGTGTAGGTGGACTGTACTGGGGGCTCCCTACTGAACTGTGCAACGCCTCGATTGCCTGATCAACAAACTAATGCAACATCCAAGAATGTGTTTCCACTGAAATATACCCCCAAGTACAACAACAGTGGACACAGAGTGTGTCCTTAAGGTAACTGAAGAACAAATGCAGTATTGTTTTGGCAATGGACTAAGTTCAGTGGAATATGTGTGCTACATGTGGTACATTTTCTCATACACTACAAACATTATGTGAGGATACCAGCTACTAAACCCACTTTCAAGTTCTGGAGAAATTCCATCTTTTGCATTGGTTTTGTTTCAAGGAACAATTCCAGCCACATCAAAAACTGACTTTGAAACACTCGTCAGAAATGAAAAGCAAGTCTCTGATTGAAACCTGACTATCCAGTTCACTTTTACTGTCTGTTATTTACTTACAAACTAGCAACACAAGTAAACAAGGTGAGATCAGCCCTTTGCCCCAAACCTCAGGTTGCAAAGCAAAAGCTGACCCCACCACACGTCTCATCAGCGTGGGGAGTCTGGGTGTCTGAGTGTAGAAAGGAACCACCACAACATAAACAAAAATTACAGAGAGAATGCTTAGTTTTACTGGGAAAAAACATGGTAAAAGGGACCACAGGGGACCAAAATAATATTTTAGAAGGGTCTTAAGGTAGCCTTTAGAGTGCATATTTCATTTGTGGACAAAAAAAATACCCTTTATGCCACTTAGCCTGGGAGTGGTCATGTATTTTTGCATAGTGTCTGCAATCCTTTCTAAGGACTCTGCATATAGTGTATGGTATGGTGTGTTAGTGGAGAATCCCTACAGAAGCATGCGTTTCCCTTATTCTTACTTCTGCAATCATACGATTGGTGTCACCCAGGAAGAGCAGGTTCAGAGCCTCCTCCTCATTTGCTGACGGCTGCAGCGACAGGTTCCTGAGATGGATGTTCTGGTCTGGATCCTCCATGATCATTACTTTTCTGGAAAAGAAAAGAAAAAATGTTGTTAAAGGAAATTCCAGCATTATAAATGAACTCCAAATTATGAATAAAAAAATGACAGAGCTGGACAATTCCAGTCAAAACCCAAATAATCCAACACTGAAGCAATTATGAAAAAACTAATTATGTTCGTTATGTCATCCATTTCCCTCCCGTCGCCTTGGCCTCGCTCAGCTCTAAATCAAAACAAACCACATCTGCAAGTCGGTGTGGGCAGTTTGACACGTGTGCTTTATCTATCCGGGGGTTCATAACTTGATAACAGACAGGGCTTGCTTTTAAAAACAAACAGGTGATTGGTCTTTGCCCACATCAAGCACTCTGAAGCACAGTGCTTGGACAGATGGGGCTGAAATGACTCCTATGATCCTACTATAACATTTCCATCACGCCACCAGGGTTGTGACAGCATGGCTACTGGATTGAGATGTCAAAGAGGGTGGAATGACTGCAGACCACATGTAGATAATTATGTTAACATGTGTAGGTAATTGAGGTAGTTTGATAAAACAGTATTAATCTGAATGTGATTAAAGGCCTGTACCCAGGGTTAGGGTTTGGTTTTTCCAAACATCTCCACCAACCCAAAATAGGATTTGATTATTGTATTTTCACACAAATAAAAAATTATATATATTAAAAAGATATTTTACAGACTTTGGGGTATTTAGAGGATGGAATGCAGGACGCATGATGGAAATAAAATAAAGGACAGATGGAGTCAAGAAAAAGTAAAACAAGAAAAAAAAATGAGGGAATGAGAATGTCAGAAAGAAGAGAAGGGGTAGGCAGTGAAAGACATAAGTAGACCAACAGTTAAAGAGAGAAATTTGTCAGTGCCACAGCTTCTCCTTGAATCAGCAAGTGTGGCCACAGCATGGTTAACGACGGGCACCGTCTATTTCCAGAAGACTGTGATTTGTGGGTATCGAAACCTTGAGCTGGATCCTCTGCGAAAGGAGAGAAGAAACTTAAATGGAACCGGTACAAGAACATACAAGACAAACACCAAAATGATGTACCGAGACGATGTCGCGCCTGGAAGTCCAAGGTCTACTTTGAGATGAGTAAGTATTGAGTATGACAAAAAGGCAAAAAAAAAAGAAAAAGAAAAATAAGATCATACGCAGACAAACCTCCAGACAGATGGAATTTATAATTACAAAGAAAGATGGGCAGAAGCAAAGACAGAATGAAGCAGGATGAACTGTGAGGAAGAGAGGCAGTCATTTCAATGACAGGGCAAGGTAGAGAGGAAAACAACAAGACAACAAAGAATGAGTGAGAAAAAGAGGTAGATGGACACAAAAAAATGATTTCCTTCAGAACCAGCTGCAGCAGCAAACAGCTATGAAAAGCTATTTCACCACATGACCCTCTTGCTCTCCACTCCAGTGGCCGAGTCTGCCACCAGGTTGACCACATCCATTGCTGTCCCAGAGTCTCATTATGTCAGTTGGCAGTTTGTAGTGAGGTGGTAAATACTAGAGTCTCCATATTTCACCACACACTGACTCTGGGCCAGGCTGACGAATGGCTATTCAGGAATAAGGCTCAGCTAAACCCACAAGTGTCTAAGAGAATAATGGAACCAGGGATGATTGGTCTTACAACTTTAAAATAAGTGTATTTATCACTTTTAAGTGCATGTTTTCAAGGCAAAATATACACTATATATGACTGATTTTGAATTGTTTACATTTTCAACTGTAATTGGATTTCTGTAGCATTAGTTACAGTAATAAAAAGAACACTGACGGTAAGTCTTCCAGTCGAGACGCTTCATGCCGGGAATCCAGAAGGTCATATCCCATCTCATTGTAGATCTCCAGGTAAGAGATGTGTGTGTTGTAAACCATACTGCTATCCTGTGGAGCAAAACATAAAGTATGTACAATTGGACTGGGTGCATACATTTAGATGCTTTGATGTTGGAGACACATTTTTCTTTTATTTATCAATGTGTATGGCCTATATGTATGAGTGAAATTGGTGCCTTACATGAATTGCTTATTGATTTTTTGCTGACCTGGCTGAAGCGTTCAAACAGGTAGGAAAGGGTGCGGGGAATAATGCCACGATCGCTGTAGCGCTCGGCCCCTCCTGTGACGGTAAAGGTCTTCCCACTGCCCGTCTGGCCGTAGGCAAATATGGTGCCATTATAGCCGGCCAAAACACTGCACAGATACACACATATTTAACAACCTACCAGACAAGTTCACAAACACCAAAAGGATGGTGTTGGAGGATGGACACTGTATATTATCTATTTTTCATTTTTCATAACAGGGGTCTCAAACTCAAATTGGCTTTGGGCCACTGTTGGTATTGTCATTGCATAGGAGGGCCACTTCAATGTTCAAGTAGTACAATAAAGTGCAATATTCTGAAAATATTTCCATTACTAACATCATATTTAAAAATAAAAACACAAAACAATAATCCTGCATGCCAGATTATTTTAGCATGTCGTGGGGCAGAGGGAGGGGTGCCGAGGGCCTGTAATGGCCTCTGGGCCAGCAGTTTGACATCCCTGTTTTATAAGACACAGATTTAAATGATGATGTTCAGAATCTATCAGCAGAAACTGAATGTAATTTTCATAACTATGTTTCAAAAGTGCATAATGACCTGAAAATAAGAATCGTTATGTTTTTGTTAGCATAGACTTAGCCTCCTATATCTACAGACGCTGTAGGTCGCCTTCCTTGGGGCCCCAATGTTGAATCACCATGTTTCTACAGTAGCCCAGAAGGGACAAACCAATAAGTGGCTCTAGATAGGGCCACTGACATTTTTTGCAGGCACCATAGCTTCTCCTGTGCACTTGGAAGGGAAGGGTGAGGTAAAGAGCCAGCAAAATCCAACACACTGTTCCTTTAATACATTATGCTTCCATATCCAATTGACCCTTTCTTTAGTCCTCTCCCTTTTGGATCTTTGGTCAACTGTACTAAGATATGCAATGCTAGGCTTGTCTATGTTGAAGAGGTAATCACATTTAAAGATGGTTAACAGATGAAAGACAAATGATCACTTCTCAGATTTTTTACAAGCACAGATTGACGTTCTAGGAACAGCACAAGTCAATGAGAACAGAACAGATGAGACCAAACTAATTTACAGTTTATGATCACTGCTGTGCTGTTTTTAAAGAGGGCTAAATATAGGCAACCAAACAATAAAATTACACTACAGATAACTGATTAACAGTGGAAAGTAAATACTTAAAAAAAAAAAAATACAGCCATGAACATGTTATGACTGCTTGTCTGTAACCATATTCTTGCTCATTTGCGTCGTGTGCCTGCCATGACATCACTTTCTTAATTTGCTAACGTGCAAGGGACTGTCAAGTATGCCTAAGCAGACACCAAAAGTCTGAGTGAATTGAAGTTGACACTTTAAATCCACAGGAAAAGATGGCAGTGAGTGGAGAACTGCTATGGCGACAGACATCTGCCGGTGAGAGAGGAATGTCTCGGGAACAGGAGTGAAGGAAAGGGCCCAAACCCAGTCAACTAGGCAGGTCCCGGTAAAATTTTGGTTTGGCACTGAATTGCCTTTCTTCTGCACGTGCACAAGGCCATGGAAACCAATGGTATCTAATTCAGTTTGAATAAAATTAACTTCCAATATGATGATACTCATATGAAGGAGGATAAATTGGCAGAAAAACTCCTGTTCTGTAGTCTTGGAAATAAACCAGGACAAAATAGTAAAATGACAGAGGGGCCTCTGATACACGAGCTTGGATCAAAGGTGAGAATAAACTCTGTGCTGTTTGACTTGCCAATTGCAAGGAAAAGGATATCTTGACACTATATTTTTCAAGTTGAATTATAAACAAATTTAAACCTCTCACTTATTTTAATGGAATTGCCAACCCAGTATTTGAGCAGTGTGTGGGTTTCCCTCCCTGTGTACTGTACGATTCCACACCCTGCATGAGGGTAAGGGAAAAAACTGTATGTCAGTTTATATAAAACACAACGTCCACTTATGAGAATGGTGGTTGGTTAGTCTGACTTGGACGACCATTGAGTGTCCATTTAATCTAGCATGAGTCATGGCAGTGATTGGCAGCGGGCAGAAAAGACACAGGCTCAGTGTTTAGTTTAATGTCAGTGCTAATGATGCGGCCTGGGCCCTGCCACTGAGGCTTGGGCGTTTCCCAGTGTTTGTTCCTGTTTACACCTCAGCTTTCCTGGAGATTTGTCATCGTCCAGGAGATCTTTGTTCTTCCCGTTCCTTTTATGAAAAGCACGATGTCCAGTCTTTAGAGGTAACAGGGTTAAGGATGAAACTGAACAGACCCCTGTTCTTCTTTGAACTTGGGCTGCAGGTTTCACAGCCTTGTGAAATGGGATTACAATGGAGATAGAGGGTTTGCCTTGCCAGCCCAACATCATTACATTGGCTCTTCCTCTCCTGGAGCTGTTAATACTGGTTTGTTTTTAAACTACTGTGTTGGGGTTGAAATTACTGGTTTCAGTTACACCACAGCACAGAAAGAGACTAGTGTTCAAGTAAACGAGTTAGAGCTTTTGGCTAAACTTGAATTGAGCCAAGTATGACAGAGTACCAACCAAAACAACAACCTGACAGTTATTGCTAGTTGAGAGGATGGGCGCCTACGTGCATGAAACTGAGTTTTAGTGCGGTGACAGCGAAACTGCCGCAATTCAAAGTGACTCCTGACTAAACCTGAATAAATGTTTCCTGACTACAGGAGCTTTAGGAAAAACATTCTGTCAGCCAAAAATTGATTCTGTCACTGATCTCTGTGACCAGACGTGCTTCTGTAAATGGAACCATGTCAATATCAACACAAGCTTAGTTATCAGCATACCGACTGGGTTTCACATAGCTTAGTCTATGTCAGTCCCAGCTAAAGTGCTTTTCATAATCTCTTTCAATACTTTGTGTAGCAAGGATATGAGGCCTAAGTCTTTGCCTATTCCTGTGATTGTGTTCGAAAGCAACATATTCCAATAGGAAGTGTGGGCTCAGCAGGGAGAATTGTTCACTCCATTCACGCTTGTCTTTCAGCCACTGTGGTGAGACTGGATTTAAAAGGTTAAAACTTTGTGGAATTCAGAACATTCAGTGTGTAAACAGGCATCCTGCAGAGGGGGTGGGGAACTGACAGCGGACTAAGAAATGTCTGATTGGGGAGACAGATTGGTCATGGCTGGACAAGGTGACTAGTGCCCTCTAGGCTGCAGACATTATAGTCATATCAAAGACTAAAAGACGCCAAGCTCGAATTGATATGGCGAGACATGGCCTGGTTGTGACAGAATTTTTTAACCTGATGTTTACCATCTGCCACACAACAGGGGAACTGTTAAGAGGTTGGCTGGGGAAGCCAAACTAATACCCAAGTTAGTGGACCCATGTGAGTCAGGGTAAACACATCCAAGCTCTTAGTCAGCCAATCCAGACATCTCACAATCTTGTTTATATGTCTTCTAATAGCAAAGATAATGCAAAGCAGTTGTTGGATTCCAGAAATAGCTCCTATTGTGACTGAGAAGACTTGGGTGGAATGTGGAGGAGATGGTGAGGCTAAATTGAGCCAGGAGGACAGAGTTTGGCGAGGAGACAGAGAGGACGAACCTTGTTCACATAACAAAAACACAACCAACATTTGATCACAGGAAATTCCAAGTAAATTCCATCTCCTCTTGGCTGTTTTCTCTTTTGGAAGTCATTAGTGATTTAGACTAAGTCTAGGCAAGGGGTGAAGCTCTGACAGACACCATAAATTTTGGCTTTGTTGAAGTGGAGTGAAAATTGTGTGTAGAGGTATCTTAAAGATAAAGAATAAAAATGTAAATACAACTACTTTTCTTTTTTTGTTACATTGAATGAGATTCATTTAAATAAATCTGGTAGGCATGTATGACACTGACATTTTTGCTGATTGTAATTGTATAGCTCCCACTATTTTCTACCAGTGGAGTTGTACATTATAACTTGAACTTAGTTCTTGCAGTTTTTTCTCAACCAGGTGGATCCCTAAAAACGTATCTGTAAACTCCTGATAGTCATGCTTTTGCCAAGTGAAAAATATCAAGTGTAACCTGACTCCTTCAACCATCAATTAAGTATTAACCTTAAAAGGTCCAGTGTGTAACATTTAGGAGGATCTTGTCAGAAATGGAATATAATATTCATAGGTATGTTTTCATGTATAGTCACCTGGAAATAAGAATTGTCTGTTTTTATCTACAGCACAGATTATCTTCTACGGAGTCAACCATGTTTCTACAGTAGTCCAGAATGGACAAACCAAATATTAGATAGGCTTTTTGCATTTTTTGAGAGTTTTGCGACCACTGTACATTTTCCTACACACTTTAATTTCTATATTAGCTAAAACTGTGATCTATTCTATTATATGGATAATGAATGAGAACACATGGTTATGTACTTGTACTGAACAAATTAAATTGGTCAGACGTATTGGGCATATGAATATTAAAGATAAAATATTGATAAAATAATTAAGACACAGGCCCAGGTGAATGCCCTCCAATCTCCATTAAATAGAGTAGTATTGAGGAATTACTTGCATTGAGGGCCAGATTTTTCAGCAGGTCAGTCTAAAGAATGTGGTACTAGGGAATGACAAATTCAACAACAGCTCAAAATGAGTGAGCAGCTACGGTACACAGTATAGCTCTGTGTTGTGGCTTGCAAATGTTCTCACACTCACGATGGCACAGTGTGCCATCTTGCCTGCCAGCTCAGTCCACTTAGTGGTTTAAGAATGAAAAGCAGGCCAAAAATCACAGACACCCTCCATTTCCATCTTAAAGAAAGCTGAGCCTTACAGACTTCCTGTCAACAAGGCTGGATAAAGCGTGTGTGGCCTGACCACAACATGGAGAGATGAGCTGAGCACAGGTGGAAAGTGACAGCTCCAGAAATATGTGTTTTGTGAATGGGATAATTAAAGGTTGTACTTTCAAGGGTTGAAAAAGCTTTTAAGGAAATGACAAACGTTCAAAATGACCTGGGATTAAAACAAAAATGTATTTACATTTGCGATTTTGAAAAGTACAGTGTCAGTTAGATTTTACCTGTCTGCAACTGGTTTGGCAATGTTTTCAAATATCTCTTCTTGTTTGACTGCTTGATCAAACACCTTTTGGAACCTGGACAAAAGTGAGAAGGACAAAGGCAGGAAGAACAGAATAGGTCAGAACATTTATCTATTATTTAATGTACTACAGTAAAAATGTATGTGGCTGGTTTATCTCAAACATCAGTTTCCCACAGGAGAACTGAATAAGCACAAAAGCAGCGTATTTAATTGCCCGAGTGGATGAGGAGGAGTTTAGTCATTCTGTTTTCTAAAACAGTCTCGACCCATCATGTTTTATCCCACAGAAAGATGAGAGCGATGTGAGAGGAATCCGCCCAGGAAGATTGTTAAATGCGGAAATTTTATTTCTATAAGGGCACAGGGGAACCTCCATGGGCTATTTTAAGACTCTGTGGTTTTCAAAGGCTCTCAGTGTCCACTGCTGTCTGACTCCCTAACTGTGAATTTAGGGCTTGGAAGCGTGGCATGGGCCCTGCCCAGAGGGTATGTAAGGCTGCAGCTCTCACCACCAGCATTAAACAGATGTTCTGGCTCTGCAATGACGGAACTGGTGGATGAATTATTCATGGGAAAAGTTCTTATGCAACCTCGAGAGTGTAAATTCTGGTGGACAGCTCACCGTCCTCTATGTTGTATGTTATCCTTATTCATTGTGAATTCCACAATTACACCACTCTTACAGATTTTAGCTTAAGCATAATTGAAACCAAGAATTGAAGTGGTTGTTTGAAAGATTCTTGCTTTATCCAATTTTAGCACAACATAAGAGGTCGTCATTGTTTTGATGTTCTGCCCCAGCCTACTGAAAGACTGGAGATAATTATACTGATACTATAAAAGACACTACATGTAGGCTGCAGGCAGATATATTTCATCTTATATTATTTCTATAAACAAACTGCTTTTACGTACAAGACAAAACGGATAAGATTGGTCTTAAGAACGAGAGAAAAGGTATTTTGAACATCAAATATAAAAACTTTTACTGGCTATAAGTTCACTCATGGGGCGCCCTGGTAGCTCACCTGGTAGAGCTATTCCCCCATGTACCTATGTACCTATGTACCCTAGTCCTTGCTGCAGTGGCCATGGGTTCGACTCCGACCTGTGGCCCTTTTCTCTCCCCCCTTTCCTGTCACTCTACGGCTGTCATTATCCATTAAAGACAATAAAACCCCCCAGAAATATTAAGAAAGAAAGAAAGAAAGAATGTTCACTCCCTACTCCACAGTGTCAATAGCTGAGAGAGGGTCAATATGGTGGACTTGAATTAGTCTGATTTGAGATATTAAGGCCATAGGAAAGTTACAAATACAGCTGCCTGACACTCTACCTGAACTTGTAGCACTCCCTCTTGTTGTTAACAAAGCCATCAGCCAGGTCTCTGGGCACCACAAACTCCAGAGAAGCACCTGTCTGCTCCTCATTGTCCACAGAGTACACCTGGGGGAGCCAGAGACAACAGCAGAGTCAGTCCTGCAGTGGAACAAGGCCTACAGGCTACTGCAGCAAAGGGCAACGCAAGGAGCTGATTTACCACAAGAGAATATTTGAGGAGTATTTGAAGTGTACAATAGACTGAAATAGTAGTCTACTATACGTGCTATGATTTGTAAGCTGTTATGGTAAATGGTGCCATATGCAGCCCAACTTAAACACAATACATCATGTTCAGTCTAAAATATAAGTCTGACCACTTGTGGTTTGGGTATTGCAAGCCCCAAAATGAAGAGATGGAGTTTATGAAGCATGTATCCTGTGGAAAGCAACAGAAGTGAACAACCAATCATGATCAGTGCACACTGAAGGCAAACTGTAATAATTCACCTCCGCTCACCGAAGCCTCAGGGGTGGCAAGAAAAACTGGAGAACATTAAAGCAGTATGGATTAAGCTCCAGCAGTAGACGACGTTTAAAGTGCGGCTGGCTGGGTCAGTCCAAACACCCCCACCCTCTGTTTTTGAGCATATGTTCTGGCATATGTTTCCAATGGACGCTGATGCAGTTACAAGTCCCCGGGGTTTCAGGAATAAAAGATAAGACCTAAATGATTGGATTGTTTTTCACTGTCACCCTGCCTTCTGCATCGCCTCCTGACCTCCACTGTTCTGTTGCCTTCACAATGACGTATGCAGAACCTCAAACAGCCCCAAGCAGGTAGCTGTGCTTGTTTCATTTTGCTGGATATTGTCGGCTCAGGCTAAAGTGGCAGAGAAACCCTCACAGTAATTTGATTATTTCACCCATCAGCTGCTGTGCTCAGACAATAAACTGGGTTTGAGAGAGAACAAAGTGCTGCCAGCAGTGTTTCTCATGGAAATGTACATGTGTATCCAATAAAAAGGGCTCTTATCTGATAGTAAGTGTGCATTAGTATGCATGTGTGTACTTCATTGCCAAAAAACAAAACAAAAAGAATGGATTGATATTGATATTATTGTATAAGCTTGCCACTGTTTGACACCAGCCCTAAATTAAAAATCTGATTGTATTATTCACCTGCTGCAGGTTACACAATTTCAACCGATTCTTTTAGCAGCTTTAATATCTAATATAGTCTAAAAAGGCAAATCTATTCAGCCAGAAATAGAGAACATGTGGGACAAAACACTAGCTGTTACTATCTTCCACGCAAAACTTCTGTAAGTGGTATCAGCAACCAAAATCCATTCATTAATAGATAAAGTTTATGATGTCTTTCCTGTGTGTCTGAATGTTTAGGTGTTTAGGCTATATGGAGCAACACAGGCCTTTTTATACAGCAGATAGTTGGACACGCCATGGCATGAAAAGCACAGGTGTAATTGAAAACAGTAATTATTAATGACTGCATGATATGCCGTTGTGTCACTTCCAGCTATGGCTCTGGCACTGTAACGTTATTGTAAATTCTTGATCACTGGAATAATTTATTGAGACACTTAATGGAAGGGAGCCATCTTTGTTAATGTCATTAGTGACACCTGTGCTTTCCCTGCCATGACGAGGAAAAAGTGTAGGAAGAAAAATACAACTTGAGCAGTATTACGCGCACACAGGTGAGTTTTTAGCAGTCCAACCCTGTTCTGTGATAAAACGTCGTTCTAAACTGGGATAACTGAAGTAATGGCAGTATAAACCTGCATGCTATGTTTTTAGAGAGGCCTCGTTAATATGACGCCAACATTAGCTATGTTAGCTTAAATAAACATCATATCCAGCGTTCATTTTAATATCCACTGAGTTTTGTTTATTTAAATGTTTAGTTGTAATCTTACCGTCGTAGTTTTCTTAGTGGGTTTAATACGACCAAATATCTGTATCGTCTGTTTCACCATTTTTTCCAGATAACAAAAGAAAACAGTTAGGTTTGTTTGGTTTTCCTCATGCAATAACTATAGCTGGTATAACTATAGCTGGTTAGCTCGCGGGCTAACGCTATGTCGGCGCTGTGCTCTTTGTAGTCTGTTGTAGCTGGTTGCTAGGCGACGGTGGTCACCTCTGTCAACTCCGCTAACAAAGATCGTCTATACTTCAAGATGATTCATCGGAGTGAAACAACCTTTCCGTCTATCCTTCTCTTTCTCTCATTTCCCCAAGTGCCTGATAGTATGAGTCAGTCAGTTCAAAGATGTTCAGGGACCCGTGTGTGTAGGAGGGGGCATGTGAATAACATTAAACACATGGTCAGAAGTAAAAATAAAACAGGGATTCTACTTTCCTCTCATGTTTTTTCTTCTCTGCTAAGCAGGTGTTTTGTGTATTCAAGACAAAAGGTCACCGCAGGTTCAGTGACTCATTCAGTGGGCATATTGACAGAAGTGCATTCACTGTAGGCACTCCCCACACATTAGGTCAATGGCAGTTACTCCTGGTGCATATAGGTGCAACCACAACTGCCAGATCTGACAGCTGGTTTGTGCTAATCATAGAGAGGCGTCCACTATAGGTACTATAGATGTTGCATGAAAAAATAAACAAAAAATATGACCAAAAGTAGCAGCAAATCATAGCATTTTAAACCAACTTTTCTTTGATCTACCGCAAGCAAAAATTCTGCGTTTTGGAACTGAAAGATGAGAAAAACCAGAGTGTGTTAAAATGAGAAATGAGTGAGACCAGACTGCAGCGTTTTGTGTTGTGTGTGCGTATGTTTTGCGCATAATGTGGGGCTAAGAGTGGGGCAAATATACACCCAGTGGAATGCAAATGTACTTTAAGGTATAGCCAGTTTGCATTTAGGCCGAAGCTCTCTCTCTCACACACATACATAAACATCATACTGCCCCTGTTGATGTGTAGCTTATGGGTTTATTGATGTGGCTGAAACTGACTTTGCCAGTCTGATTTACAGGAAACACTGGCAGAGTTTATATAAAAGCACAGCGGCTTACAAGGATTCACCTAAAAGCACAACAAGCTCTCTCTCTCACAGAAACTCATCAAGGGCACAAATTCACTTATCAGCTGATTCACACAGAACCATATGTCTTGTGTTTGGGAAGGTAGGGGTAAGGTCGCGGGGGTGGGTGGTGGGTGGTGGGATGTCTTTGACCCTGTCTCTAGTTTCAGCGCATGTGTGTCATGCTGTTTCTGGTATTTCACCTGAACCCTGTATATGTTCCCGCAAATATAGCCTAGTAACAGGAGGCCTGCCCCCAGGCTGCGCACCAGACAGTTTACCCAGAAGGCTGCGTGGTTTCATGGTGCCATTCAGGAGAATGTATCGTGTTTGTTCCAGTGCATTCTTTGATGCCACAGAAAATACTTCTTGTGTGGTTCCTTGTTTTCTGTAGAGTTGTGTGTGTGTGTGTGTGTGTGTGTGTGTGTGTGCATGTGTGTCATGTTGTGCATGTGCATTGAATATAACATACTTACTGCTGTTTTAGTGGGCATTTGGTTGAAAAAGTGTAGATAATCATACACCAGGTTTGCTATTTTATTAAGTTGCTTCTACATTCTTACTGTCAGTTAGTGGTGTGTGTGTGTATTGTGTGTATGTGTTATGGACTCAGCACTAACTTTTAAGATCAAAATGCCAAATTAGTACAAGATTGAAACTAGTAAAAAAAAACATTATTTATTTAAGTACCTACCTCAATTGAACAAAAATTCCAAGCTGCCTATTCCCCCTGTGGTGTTCCCCTCATACCTACTCATCCTTGTTCCAAAGCTAACATTATGTATATACTTTATAAAATTAGGTAAAAAGTCCACGCACAACTCATTAAACAGTTAGTCCACTCACACAAGGACGAGCATTCATGAGAGGATTGTGTGAGGATAACCAATTGGACAGGATGTTTTTCACATGGGTTCTGAATGGTCTAACATGCAGCCCTGCATTCCTTCAGGTTAGACTGTGTGTGTGTGTGTGTTTGGATTTTTTTTGTTATGCAATATGCAAGGGCTCTGTAAGGAGAAAGTGTAGCCTCTCCTCTCAGAGGATTGTTGCTGATGTTGGTGTTCACATGTAGCGCTGTACAGTCATGCGGTTCAAGCAGCCGTCAGGCAGGTACTGCTAGCCGTGCATGGCTGAACAAAAGCTGTTAGTAGAACCCTGGAGCAGTAAGACAACTTCAAAAGAGGAAACTTTTTTTGTTTTTTACAGGGCTTTCAGGTGGTGTAACACACCCTCTGGCAGCCATGTTGGAGGTCCGCAGCTCGTGGGCAGCACGGTATGAACTTGACTGAAAAATGTCTAAACTGTCTCAACAGAACTCAGTTCAGTTTTGAGCTAGCTTGCACGCCAGTTATTATCAGTTGCATGTTAAGACAAATATACTGTCGGTGATTAGCCAAGAGAATAAACTACAATAATAGCTGTTTGTTCAGTTTATCTTTGCTGACTTTTCAAGCTACACCCCTACAGCACCTTGTAGCCAAGAGCAAAGGTGGTAAAGACAACAAAGTGCCACATTATCTAAATGTGAATACTGGTGCTTTTCAGTTGAATGTATTAAATGTGTTCGCTCATGCTATAAGCTTTGTCTTGCCTCCAACACACACATGCACACATGCCTCCAAGCTGTGTGAGTTTGTCTTGCCCTCTCTTTGTAGCTCTCCTTCTTTCTCTCTCTTTCTTTGTGTGGCCTGTCATCCATGGGGGAACGGAAGTTGTTTAATGCTCTCCTGGATCTGCATTCTTCACGTAGGCCTACATTTTATTCACATATCAGTAATGTGGCATTAAAATTTGTATATAAAGTGATAATGTGCTCTATCCATGGCTGGTTGGTACCAATAGATGTGCCAGGTCATCTAGTTTCATGTGATACCAGAATCTTCACTCCGGCTTTAAAAGCTGGAAAAAAAACCAGTGCCACCCCGTTCCCCCCCTGCTGGAGACTCCCCTGCTGTCTTTGGAGACAGAGGCAAATTGTGATTTGTGATTTTGAGCTATATAAATAAAATTTGATTTGACTTGAACAGCTGGTTCTGCATAATGATTCTTTACATACTGTAGAAAGTCCAAAAAGTAGTAAAGTCTTGTCAGTAGACCATAGAACTGGATGCTCCAGTCAACATATACAGGCTGGAGAAACCCCATTCTATGGTTGCCCATATTTTAATCAGCTCCACAGTATGAACAACATGCATTCCAGTTGGACCAAACCGAGAATATCTTGCACTTGTGGACACTGGAGCTGGTGGCAGTGTCTAGAATATTGCGCAGTGGTATTAGTAAAGAAACCCTACGTAGCCCCAGATGCTATCTGATTGTGACCTTTATCAATAAGGTGTTTTTCATGGAGCATGACACATCACAAACAGTAATTGTTGGCAGAAATACAGTTTGCTTATTCTCTATTTTTTCACTCTTTCTTATTGATAGAAAAGGAAAAGAAAAGTATTTTCCCATGAGCCTACCTTTCTACTGACCTATCAGCCTACCCAGCCGTGACAACTAATATCAGAAGTAATCTGTAGATCATATCACATGATAACAGGTTTGAGCCTTTGCATATAAAATGCAGCCTCTTCCAAAAAGTTCCACAAATTCCAAGAAGGAAGCAGCCACGTCCACTTTCTACAAAACTACATTACACAGTGTAGTTAAATCTGTTTCCTTGACAGAAAAGTGCATGCAGTAAACACCAACCAAGGGCTGGACTGGGCTTGTTAGGGAGCTGTGAACTCTTTTTTTAATATCCTGTTTTTGTCCATGAGTTGTCTTTATCTTTAGCTGACATAGCTGTGGTTTCTCCCCAAAAGAGGAAACCGACTATACTGCATGAGTCCGACACACGGAAACGGACTTCAAATCTGGATGCAAGACATTTTGTCTCAACAAATAAGTGACACTTCAAAAGTCTTGCATGCATGCAAACCACATGGAATTCTTTTCTTTGGTAAATGTGAAATCACTTAAAGTTATGTCCTCAGTTTTTGACGATTTCCCATGATTCTGACACTACATATTACCTGTGCTGGATTCACAGGATGATCAGGTGACAATAAAAACTATGCAAGTGTCACAATGGAATTGTCACCATGGATGATGACTACACATGTACAAGCATGCATGCGCGCACACATGCACTTGCATAAGTACACGCTTCATCAACTCTGAAAGGACTGAGGTACAGTAAAGACTGTTGTTTTGATACAGATAAAGCTTGAAGCTTCAACCGAGTACATTTCAAAACTTGTAGAAGCTTAAAGGCAAAACAACTTGTGCTCGAGCACCAAAGAAAAAAACCTGTTTTTTCAGTCATCTTTGCCAGCATTCAACACCTTTGTCTCTAAGCACCGGCCTGGCAGTTAATCAAAAAGGTGTGCTCGGTGTCAGAGGATTTCAGCCTGGTTGGAAGCGTATGCAGCGTTCTCCTGACCAGACTGACTTTGTTTGGATGTTTGCAAGATGACTTGAAGCCCACTTCAATGCATTTACTATTACGACAGGATCAAACATGCGCCATTGGAAAAGCAGACTCAGGAAGAAGCAGTAGCTGTTTCTGCAAATATACAGATGATGTTGAAGTAGGTGTCATATATCCATCACATCACCCAGTCACATTTGAACGTCTTGAACTACATTAAAAATAAAACAAGATGCAGAGCTGTCTCTACAGTTTCAGCCCTAGTTATGAAATCCAGCCCCATTAGGTAAATGCACAGAAGTGGATCAGACATCAACAGTACTTGCCACTGCTTGCTTACAGCATCTATTGTAGCCTGACAACCAAGCACAGGCAGCACACAAGCAATTTGTGGGAGTCTTTGTGTTTCTCTGCATTTCCATGTGCAATCAGTTATATGCATCCGTGGGTATATACTGTAAATGTGAACCTCATTTGGGAGTGCACACACCCAGTCCAGCAAGCTGCAAACACTGTACCCTCCACAGCTCCTGGCTAATCAATCCCTTACGAAGGCATCTTGGCATTCCTTTCAAACAGAGTGGTTTAGATTTGGCC